AAATTGCGTGGCGTCCGCGTCAATTAAGAACGCTTAGAAATTGTCAGAATCTTATAATATTTAAAAAAAAAATTATTGAATTAAGTAATCAAAATAATCAGCAACTAAATTACGAATATTGACGTTATGAATATTCTCGTATTTCAGGGATTGCCAAGCATATAGATTAAGTAATTTCGTTGTAATTTCAACTAAGTATAGTGATTTTTAGAAATGTTTTCGCAAATAATTATGATCGAGTCAAAATTGTACAATCGTCTTTTTGAGCAAGCAAATTCAAGATAAATATATGAATTTACCTAAATCAAAATTGCAGTTTCGTTAGTCGTGACATCATCATCATCATCAACATTACAGCCCTTCACAAGTCCACTGCTGAACATAGGCCTCCCGCAAGGTATGCCACAAAGCACGGTCCTGAGCCACCTGCATACATCGAATTCCTGCATGTCGTACCAGATCGTCACTCCACCTAGTGGGGGTCGCCCTACACTTCGCCTACCGGTACGAGGCTGCCACTCGAGAATCTTTCTTCCCCAACGATTGAATGGCCGGCTCATTGCCACTTCAGCTTACTAATCCGTTGGGCTATGTCGGTTACTCTGATTCTACTGCGGATATACTCATTTCTAAGTTTATCACGCAGAGAAACTCCGAGCATAGCCCTCTTCATAGCTCGCTGAGTGACTTTGAGCGTCCTCATACGGCCAGCAGTGAAGGACCACGTTTCGGTTCCGTAGGTCATCACTGGCAACAAGCACTGGTTGTACAACTTAGTTTTCATGTTTTGAGGTATACCTGACGAAAAGATGTGTCGTAATTTCCCGAACGCTGCCCAGCCGAGTTGAATCCATCGATTGACCTCTCGGTCGAAGTTGGAGTTACCTAGTCGGACTACTTGTCCCAGGTAAACGTACTCGTCAACAACTTCGAGCTTAGTGCTACTTATAATTACCGGCATAGGTGTGACATGGACATTAAACATGATCTTTGTTTTGTCCATATTCATTTTAAGATCTATCCGTTGGGAGGCACTATTGAGGTCATTGAGCATAGTGCTTAAGTCCTCCAGCGATTCTGCTATAAGGACTATATCGTCGGCAAAATGAAGGTGAGTGATGTACTCGCCATTGATTTTAATACCCTATCCTTTCCAGTCCAGTAGTTTGAAAACGTCTTCCAATGCAGCGGTGAAGAGTTTCGGGGAAATAACGCCAGCCGGTCTTACACCTCTCTGCAGTTGAATAGGTTTCGTACTCTGGTTTCGGATAGCCATCGTAGCCCTACTGTACAAACATTTCAGCACTTCGATATACCGACAGTAACTTGGCATTGCTTATGAGACTGTAGCACCGCCCAAATTTCGACGGAATCGAAGGCTTTCTCATAGTCTACATACGCCAGGAAAAGTGGCAGATTGTACTCTTCGGACTTCTGTAAAATTTGCCGAAGGTGTATGTGGTCTTTGGTGCTAAAGCATTTTCAGAAACTGTCTTATTTGGGAGGCTGGAAGTAGTCGAGTTTGCGTGCGAGACGATTCGTAATGACTCTCGAAAACAGCACGTAGACGCGGATCAGAAGGGATATCGGTCTGTAGAGGGTAAGATATGCTTTACTTTACTATTTTACTTTATTTAAATTTAATTTCTGTTGCTATCTAAAGCATACAATCAAGGTTATTAGTAGATTTTACATTGATATTTTTATTTATAACAGCTTTATTACACAAAAATGTCATAGTCCCGTACTATTCGATGAAAGTAGGTGCATTTTCTCTCGGTGTCGGTGGAAATTATTTTTCCGTAGTACTCCTGTTCTGTATGGTTAGTTTACCTATTTCTGCGACCAAATGACGGTGCTTGCTCTGCTGTGTTCCAGACTGAAGATATTTTTTTATATTAGAGGAGGAAAACGAGCATGCGGCTCACCTGATGGCAAGTGACTACCGCCGCCTATGAAGAGCTGTAACATCGCACGAATTGCAGATGTGTTGCCAGCCTCTTAAAAAAGAATAGGCTCTTTTCTTTAAGGTCTATAAGTCGTGATGGCCCGGAAAAATCGCTGGCGGTTGTCGATTTCACAAGAAAGTTGTGCGACGAAGAAAATTTCGTGTAAATCGCACGGTGGTGGACCGCCAATCATCCAGATGGTATGGATGGTATCTTGAGCTCTGTGGTGATGTGCGAAGGTGAAACTGAGCGCCTGGAATTAGTCTGAGCAATTCCTCTGAGCACTCGTCGTGTTAGATACGATAGAATAGGCAAAGAGATGTAACATCTCTTTGCAGTGCAAGCCGATCAGAAAGAGCTCGGTTACCGACGATTCGAACCACTCTGCACTGAATACGATCAAATGGAAGCAGCTGGCGCTGGGGCACCCCAGACTTCCCTGAGATGGTTAGTATAAAACTCCTCAGAGATGGGAACAGTATTCGGTATGAGGCCGAACTTGCGCCTTATAAAGTCGCAGGCGGTGTGCCGGAATGAAATACTAACATACTCTTCGGGAACCAGTATAATAAAATGCTGTAAGGCATTCCATCTAAGTGTGTAACGTTTCTGTAGCGTTCTTTGTTTAAATTAGGTTGCAGGGTCTATGGGCTACAGTAGCCACTTACCATAAGGTGTACTGTTAGTTCGTTTGTTACTTCAGCTTTATAAAGGAAACATTTTGAATGAATATACAGAATAATGTACATGTTTCAGATATAAGTAATACTAAATTAAAATGTTCATCGGGTAGCTGACAAACAAATGTTTTTTTTACAACAAAATAAATAGTAGGTATAAAGCTGGTAATGTTTTATACCTACTATTTATTTTGTTGATGATGTTATGATAAAAAATTAAATAAAACTATCAATGTAAAATCTTCTACTAACCTTGATTGTCTGCTTTAGATAGCGACAGAAATTTAATTTAAATCAAGTAAAATAATAAAGTAAAGCAAATCTTACCCTCTTACCAATATTATTTCAAGGCAAGAAAGATTAGACAAATTTTACATGGTATATAATAGTGTATAGTGTTATTAACTTTGAAATTTGACTTTAACTTTGGTGAATGGGTTGAATCTACCGGTGGAAGATGCTCGATCAACATACTTACACGAAATAGCAGTATAATACCGCTAATATGTTTGTTATGGTGACTGAAAATATTCTTAACACTGATAACAAGAATTTATAGATAGATTCAGGGGTGATATCATCGATTGAGAATCAAAACTCAGATGCGCCCCTAAGGACTAAGATGCCTTATTACTTGTAAAAAGGATCGTAAACAGCGCTTTAAATTGCGGCCCACAAATTTATTTTTTCGGGTGAGGAACAGACAAGAGTTACTCGCATACTTTGATATTTAAAATTAGTGCTTAGCCCTTGTAAAGCAGCAAATCTTAAATCAATTTTTAAAGCTTAGTTGCAAATGAAACATAATATAAGATTACCAAATTTTTTTTAAATTTCAATAATAATTTTGGAATAAATTGTGTCAATTTTCCGATAAGATAATCTCATTAAAATACCGACGAATTTTTCTATTGATTTTGTGTTGTTTCGGTATAATACATATATATATATATATATATATATATATATATATATATATATATATATATATATATATATATATATATTTCATTTCCTTCATTCGCCTCTTATGATCTCCATGCCTTTTATGACCGGATGATATGAGATAATTCTCATACGCCCCAACACACGGAGAAAGCTAATAAAATTCATCAAGGCAAGGTTTAAGCTAGTAGATTTATTTCGTTTATTCTGTTTCAGAAAGTGACCCATAAATTAGATCAACCACTCTGTAAGAGCTGCTGAACAGGGTTCTGTCTTATTGTCGATAGTATTATCAATAAATGAAATGTTTGCAAATCGAATTTAGTGGCGTCTCCCTTATATGTCTGATAATCTCCTGATCACCAACATCCGAGGATGAACTGAAATCAGTTAGTGGGTTTTTCTGTGGCCAAATTCTCAAAAGCACTTAAGGGCGCTGTTCTTACTTCTGATCTCTCCGGTCATTTGGGTTGCCGTTCCGTTGGCCTATGAAAGTGAGGGAATAGAAAGTGCATCTGTGCTTACGGCTTGCTCGAGTCGTGCACTAAAATTCTATACTGTATTATATTTTCCTATTTTATATTAAAAGTAGGACGACCCCCCACTAGATGGAGTGACGACCTGGTAAGACATGCAGGAAGTCGATGGATGTAGGTGGCTCAGGACTGTGCTTTGTGACATTTCTTAGGCGAGACTTATGTTTAGCAGTGGACTTGTAAAGGACTATAATGATGATGACACACAAAGACTTAGTTTGTATTTTAATTCAATTGACATATGTGAAATAAAAATTCAATATAAAGTTTTTTTTTAATTTTGTCATATCAATATAATATTAAAATGAAAATAAAGTTATTTACTAGCGTTAATTACACTATTTCCTTAATTTTTAAGGTAATGTGTGAATAATACATACATAAAACTTTGCTCTGCTTTAATACCTGAATCAAGGTTCTAAAGACAGTTAATGGCATTGAATAGGGGCTTGACAAATGACGTCCGAATACGAGGGCGGTGGCCAGCAGTGATAATGTCGCACATAACAAATGGGGTCCAGTTCTGTACCAAATGGCGGTCTTGTTCTGAGCTATGATTACCATATATTATAGTCAAGTGACGCTATCGCTATGAACTATGAGAATAATATGCAGTGACAATGTTGTCATAAATTAACACAATGATGTTTCACTAACGTTTCAGAATTATTTTGACAGAACCCGTAATTTGTAATTGGCTTTGAATTATAATTTATAATCTGCTAATTAAAAGCTACCGTACGATGTCAGCCGTAGATGTCGTAAAATACGATTATAGGAAAGGTCAGAAAGGGAAATTGTCAAATTATTGAAAGTGAAGGTCAGAATTGAAATGTTGATTTTATTATATTATTACATTTTACAGACATATAAGAATATATCAGACAGAAATGACGCGGAGCACCGTAAAAGGTGCAAGACATTTGGCACTGCCTAAATCGCTGAACCATCTACCAAGCATATCTATTGTGGGAAACCTTCAGGTGATGAGGAGGGACCCATATGCAGAGAACTGTTATAGGGTTAATAAAGAATAAAGAAAGGAAAACAGACAGAAAATTATTTGTGCAGGTTACACTCGGTAAAAGTGAGACCTTCAGAGAAATAAACTTCGAGAGAATAAGACGAATTTGAAGAGGAAATTTTTTATAATATTTTTACTAAATTTAAAAATTATTTTAAATTTTATACTACATATACCTATTACATTGCATATTAAAACGACTCCAAGTTTTCAATTTCAACAAATGACACGAGTGGATTATGATTACTAAAGTATAATGAATATTATTTTATTTATGGTTTATGTATTAATATTATAAATTTAAACCGCAAGTGCAACATAAAATTTTAGATGAAAGTTTAATTTTATAGCAAATAAACGTTACAACTCCTATTTGTAGACATATTATATATATAAAGATCTAGATGAAACACCCTATTTAACCCCTCAAAAATTCTTACTGGGTGTCTACGACGATAAAGAAGGCGTATAATTTTGAAATCTCGTGATGAGTGTTAGTGATATTTTGCTTATATAACAGTAGATAGATATTTTCTTTCGAGTAAAATTGCTTTGTAATAACGCCATCTACTGCATTCTGTCATCATCATCAGAGCCTATTAAAGTCCACTGGTGAACATAGGCCACCCCCAAAGATTGCCTCATAGAGGGGATTTTGTAATAGTTGACACGCTTGGCGAGCGGGTTGTCCACCGTAGTTTTTTTTATTACTTAGAGTTGTTATCAGGAAGATACTGCTGCCCATCAACTGTTTCAATTTCCCTCTGACGCCTCTTACGACACCCGCGAGACGTGGATGTTCTTACATATATGGGGTAGTGGATATTCTTACACCGGGCACTACAAGTTTCTTTAGTTCAAATTTTTTGTTTTAATTTTTTGCAAAATATCAGTGCCATATGCATCTACTCCGTTCACCTTTTAGACACTATTTTTTCCAGACTGTAAAAAGGTCATCCAATATGTTGTGTATTATCAGCAAATAAAATCAATAAACATAAGATTTTCACTTTTAAGACCATATATTTAAAATTACATATTTTGTGGCCTTTTAAAGAAATAATTGAAATATCTAGGAAAATATCATTTTATAAAACACATTGTACAACATGAGTATTTGACAACAGATATCATTATTTATTCTTGTTCACATATATATATATATATATATATATATCATAATAAGAAATGACACATGCATTGTACCAGCTATCTCCTAAAAATAGAATATAAGTATGATGATAGCGTTTGGTACTTAGATTAGTATCAACAAATATATTCATACTTATATAGGTTTCTAAATCATTACCAAATTGAGGGAAGTATTTATTCATTCTATATGAGAAGTCATTTTATCGAAAAAAATTGATTGACTCTCAAGGTGGTATGTAATATAGACGCTAGAGAGTTATGAAATCGTAGATTTATTTCGTTAATAGGTTAAGACCATTTTATTCAGTGTGGTTAAAGCACCACACAAAGTGAAGACCAAGATAAATGGAAACACTATATTTTCTTTTAATATTAGCAATGCAAAGAGCCGTGGTTAACGCTCGCTGTAAATATCGCAGAACGCGAATAACCCGGGTTCGATCCCCGCCGGCACCAATGAAAATGTTAATTGAAATTTTAAGTGCTGACTTACCACGAGCTCGGCGGTTAAGAAAAACATCGTGAGGAAACCTGCATATCTGAGGAATAAGAAAAAAATTCGATGACATCTGAAGTTCACCAACACACATTGGGGCAGCGCGGCGGACCCTTCCTTGCCCTAAAACCCTCTCAGAAATGAGCTGAGGGCTGTGCCCAGTAGAGGGACGTATATAGGCTGTAACTTTACTTTTTTTACTAGCAATTCTATTAACCCTGTGCCAAAAAAAAATAACGCGGACTATAATAGTGGGTCATTATGACCCGGATATTTTTTTATAATTTTTCACAATCAAAAAATATAATTGTCTGATATTTTAATGATTTCTTATATTAAGTCAGAAAAGCACTATGCCAGCGATGACGCTAGGTCATATTTACCCGTTTAGACTTGACGCAAGTATATCTCGCTGCGCAGCAGAGTGTACCAAAGGTCCGCGCTGAGTGGGGCTGTATCTCCAGCTACACAAACGCTCAAACTGTGCGACTAAAGCAAACAAAAATATATCCGCCAAAATCGCCTCGAATCAACATGACCTATCGTCATTGCCGTCGGGTTAACATTATTAATATTACCTTTAACTACTACAGGTATAAAGATATTAATTAATTCGTAACCATTCGCTTAAAAAGACAATGATGTGTCTTACCTGGATTGAAGGGCACCTCCCGCCCTCCCTCAATTGCATGCACTAATCCCGTCACCACTAATTTAGCACCACTACTCCCAACACCACTATTCCAGGAAAGACACACCATCGACGACAATACGACACGTGTTTCAACTCTATACGAGGCATCTTCAGGTGATGTAGACTCTACGGCGGCTGACCGCTTCTGGCCGAGGAAGGGAAATGGGAGATCTCCCGCCGGGCAAGGTGTTCTTCTGCCCGGGGAGCGGCCAGCGCTCCGTGTGATAGTTCGGGGATGTTCTATATATACTGTTTAAGATTCGGAATGTTGATAGCGTGATTTAAGCTTCAGTGTATTTCGATTTTGGCGCGACGACTGTGCCGCCACATCACCCCCCTGCTCAGACTGGAGGTCGATAGTACAGTCTCGTTGTCGACGAATCTGAAAGTGCCAGGAGATTGCCTCGTAGGCTGCGGTGAGTCGAGAAGAAGGCAAGTAATCTGTGAGAGTGCCGTGAAGCACAGGCGAGCAGTAAGGCTCAGAGCCGTGCCGAACTCTGTATAGCGCAGAGAGTAGCTTGAAGGAACAGGAAGCATTATTATTCCAGTGCTGCGATGAACCTTGTGAAGCTAGATGGCTTGCAGGATGTGAAGACTGCAGACGATATCTGCTCGGGAGCGAATGGGTGGGGTATTCTATGACGATGATCAAGCTTGAAGTTTCCGAAGGTTGTTTGGTTGCGTGTTCAGATCACGTCGGTTAGTCACCACTCTGGCCGAGGAAGGGAAATGGGAGATCTCCCGCTGGGCAAGGTGTTCTGCCCAGGGAGCGGCCAGCGCTCCGTGTGATAGTTCGGAGATGTTCTATATATACTGTTTATGATTCAGAATGTTGATAGCGTGATTTAAGCTTCAGTGTATTTCGCTTGTGGCGCGACGACAGCGCCGCCAAAGCTGACAATGCTTTGTTAGTAGAGGTTCACGATAGTACTAAACCTACAACCTTTTGAGTTCGCTTTCCGCGCCCTGTCGTCAGACCACTGTCGCTTACTACACTCTCTTTTATCTTTATCCTCTCGCAGGCTTAACCCTAGATATGTATATATTTGTCTCTTTTCAGTATCGCTTTTTCGTTTCATGAAGTTTCAAATCACAACGAAGTTTTCACTTCACACATGCCATAACAAATATATAAAATAACTGAAGTTAATTGGCTACTGCAGTCCATGACAGCTGCAGCCACCTTCAAACAGATTACAGATGCATTGTCAGCTCCATGGACTAAGGAGGAAAGCCTTACAGCCTGTAATTATAATCCCTCCCTATACCCTTCAGACCGGAACACAGGAGTGCAAGAATCGCTATTTGTCGACATAAATAGATAACAGATTGTTATCTAACTCTACGTAATTCTTCGCAGGAAAAAATCTTACCAACTATTACTATAGTAGTCTACTACACATACAGTATGTATTTGTCATATAATTAGTCTCTTGTTACAGATAAATGTAGTCATAGATACTACATAGAACAAAAAATCGATCAGCGTTAAAAAGGCTTCTCGGTGTACACGGTTCGTTAGTGTTTATAGGACGGAACGTCGAGTATGTTGTTTTCGCTCTAATATACCTTCCTTCATGAAAACCGAAAGTAATATTTGATCTCACAATATTTGACAAAGGTGTCAGGCGAAGGTGACGTGCAAATTTGTGTTTATTATCGAAGTATATTTGAAGGTAAAAACACGCATCCAATTTACATTATAAAATCTCTACACTAATATTGTTCTTTCTTAAATTTTTATCAAATTTAAATGGCTTAATTATAATAATAATATGGACAATATAAAATATAATTAAAATTGTAATTCAGGATATTTTATATTATATTATTTTATGTATACACTAGTTAAACTCATACTTACGAGTAAGCTATGCATGGCTCACGTTTTATAAAATAATAGTATACGTATCACGTTTTATAATATAATAGTTTTATAATATAATATATATAAAAAGTTTTTTTTTTATAAAACATTTGTGATATTGAGAATTGTACCGTGTTGTAGCGACGTAAGAATGTCTAGTACCCCAAGTCGTCCTATTGGTATCATATCAATATCTCGTGACATTATTATTTTTAGCCTATTTGGTTTTTAGGGCTTTTTCTATTACAGAGCTGTTTATAAAGTTCTTAAGAGGCGACAGAGGGAAAATGAAACAGAAGATGGCACAAAATAATTTAAAAATGCGGGTACCAACCCGACTGCCAAGTATGGCAACTGTGGTTAAACCTCCGAATATGGCAATCAAAAAATAATAATTTTACGATAATGTCAGCTGAATTAATTGCTATTAATGATGCCCTATTACGTGCTGGTACAACAAATTTTCAAAAAACAGTCATTCTAACTGATAGCAAGAGTGCTCTTGAACATATTGCTCGATGCGTCTCTGGTCCCAGAGGTGTATCGATAGCATATTCGATATTAAATGAAATATTGAAACTTCAATGTAAAAACCGTGAGTTAGTATTGCAGTGGGTACCGTCTCACATCGGTTTACAGGGCAATGAGGAGGCTGATAAGCTGACGAAATTGGCAATCACCCAAGGAAGAGAATATAATATTTATCCTGATTATTCAGAAATTTTAATTAAATATAAAGAGAAATGTTATACAATTTGGAAAGAATATTTTGACAAAAGATCGCAAGAAGAAGGGATTTGGTACAAAACCATCCAGAGTCATCCTCCGAAAGTGCCTTGGTTTAATCAATGTCTGTTTAATAGAAAATATATTGTATTAGCAATGCGACTTCGTTCCGGACACATTCCGTGTAACAAGTTTGGTTTCATGATGAAAAAGAAACAATATCCAAATTGCGATACATGCAAAACAATAGAAGATGTACAACACTTGCTCGCGGAATGTTCCAAAAATCATCATGAAAAACTATTAGTTTCCAAAACTGGTATTAAAATTTGTAACCTAGGGGAATATCAAAGCATTTTGTCTGAACCATTATCTGATGCTGCTCAAATTGTATATAACTTAGTTAATTTTTTGTTTAAATAATTTAAGAAATTGTAGTTTGTTATTTAGTTATTAGGTACAATGGGACTGACATGTTTAAAATAACCTAAGTTCCTAAATTTAAAAAAAGAATTAAAAAAAAGAATATGGCAATCTTTGGGGGAAGGCATATGTACTGCAGTAGACTTAAACTCTAAAACACCAAGCGGCCAAATTTGACCGCTTCGATATTCCATCATTCAAGCGATCAAATATGACCGCACACACCCATAGCACTTTAACCCATAAAAACTTACATTTAGAGAACACTTTTCTATGAAGAAGTTTGACATTATAGAATCAATATGAAATTTTCTATCCTCTGGTGCAATAAAAAGAGTCGCCGTACGCTATTTTTATTAGGATGTTGCATTGATTTTTGGACTTTTCTAGTGTTTATTATTGTTTTGGTATAGAGTTTTAGTATAAAATTGTTATAAAGTTTTTTGTGTGAATAAAATTTATCTTTTTACGTAAATTATTGCGAGTAATATGTAGAAATAATTGTGATTTTCACGCTGCCGACATCCGCTTGGTATATTTTTTTTGTTATCAAATTACAATATAATATTTTTGTAGTGAAGTAAAACCTGACTTTTATTTAGACCACAGGATAGAGAACTGTGTATAGATTTTACAATTCCAAACTTCTTTATAGAAAAGTAGTCTCTAAACTTAAGTTTAAATGGTGTTAAGTGCTGCGGGTAGGTGCGGTCGCATGCAACCGTTCGGGATTTGCCAGGCGCATGCGACTGCATGGGAATTTTATGGGGATTGAAGGATCAAATAAGCCAGTAAAAAGAAGATAGTGAAAAGGGCTTACTGTAATCACCAATCTATTCGGACAGGTTGGCGATAACAGTACCAGACAGACAGACAGAAGAGGGCCATTTGAGTAATATATGATTTAAAACCAAAAGAGTCGCTCAGACAAAAATTTAAGGAAATTATTATATTAAATCTGGCCTCTCAATACATTTATGAAAATATCATGTACGTACAAAAAATAAAAGTAGTTTTGCAAAGATAAGTGATATTCATTCTGTAAATACTAGGAATAGACACAAGCAAATAGTAGCAGTTACTCGACTCCACCAAGTCAGTAATTCATTCTTGGGGCGATGTATATGCTTTTACAACAAAATCCCAGAAAATATACAAAATTTGATATACAAAAAGTTCAAAAACTTTATTAAACTAAGTTTGTATAAAAAGGGTTATTATAATATTAAGGAATTTGTGGATGATAATAACCCCTGGGAAGGGTGATCGCTACCAAGCTATTTCTAATTTGTTTTTTGTTGTTAATTGTAACAAACATGATTTTAAGCTATTATTTGGAAAAAAAATTGTCCCGCTGGGTTTCTTGCTGGTTCTTCCCAGGTCAGAGGTGTTTTTTTGCAAACCAGTAGTTAATGAAAAAGGTGACTTTCAATAAGTATTGTTTATAATCTATATTGAATAAAAAAGTTTCCGTTTCTATTTTAGACCTGTACCGCGTTGTGTGTGCCGCGTTCTCAACCACAGGGGAAGCGAGGAGCAATTGGCATCAGGGCAGTGTTAAGCGAAGCGGCGAGAACTACTGGCTTCGCGCTAGAACTGAGCACAACTGTACTTGATTTTTTATTCCATTAACGCGTGTCATTTGGCATATCTGCATTTAAAATAGCAATAAAACATTTTATTTTATTATCGGGTATCAAACTCGGGTTGACTACTGTGAAATTTACGAAGAGCTAGGCCCCGAAATTACCAATGCTGATAATAATATGCAAACTATTTTTTTCTGAGTCGAATGTTAGGGTATGGCAAACGAAGTCCGCTCTATGTGCAATTTACTTTCACGTGTTAACATTTAAACTGGCAGCATAATGGTAGTAGTAGCGGCGTACGAGAATCCACTAGTACATATCATTTCATGGGTGTCGCAAGGAGACAGAGTTAAACTGAAACATGAGATAGTCGGCAGCATAGTTTTGATACCAAATTAAAGTAATGAAAAAAAAAAACTATAATTGCTAAACCAACATGCCAACTATGGCAAAATATTATGATTGATGAACGATGATGAACATATAGATGAAAATATTGCCATATGAGGCGGGTAGCTCTTGCTCAGCAGTAAACTTTGATAGAATTTTTACGACATTTAAGTTAAAATATATTATTATATACTTGCTATGGAATATTGTATCAATTATACTTTGTCTATTTTTCAGATCTATTACTGAAACAAACGTCAATTACCTTGATTGTTGCTGTATCTGTGTTATTTGAAGAAACACCGAATTAATTAAGTATATTTATTTAAACTTGTAAACGTACGAAAACTGCGGCAAATTTTGTCAGTTGATGCGATTTAATATCTCCGAAATTTAAATAAATAATGTCATTAAAATATATAAATTTTTATATTCTTTTTAAATAATTCACGGAGAAGTGATTGCTGCTTTCGTTATTTTAATAACTATTTATAGTAAATTAAAAAAAATAAGAACATTTCTTGCTATTAATTTTGTTCTGTTTAATTATAACAAAATTAGTAATGTTCGGTTTCCTTTTTCGTGTTGTTTTCTCTATTAGTATTGTTATTTGGTATTCTATTAATGTGTGGAATATGATATCTGACTATTTCAATTCCGAATTTAATAGGCTCTTAATAAATAATTCCAATGAAATCGATTTCGAAGACTAATTATTTACTATTGAACAAGCGATATATGAATTAAGCATCACATAATTTAGCTTCAGCTTCATTCGTCAGGCAGATTTCATACTTCAAATGTATTATATATTGGTAGATTAAATTATTGGGAATTTCATTTTTTATTTCTTTGTCCAACGGTATTCAATTTAAATATATATTTATAAAAAGGAGAGCATTAACAAACACACAATTAAAAATTGTGTTACCAGTTCTTAGCTACCATTTTAATTTTAAGTAAATATTTTCTATTAAAATCAACGATTTTTATTACACCAAGAATTTTTTATCATAATTTTTATCTTTAAAAATTATTGCAAATTTATCGTTTTCATCATCATCATCATTACAGCCCTTCACAAGTCCACTGCTGAACATATGCCTCACCCAAGGAATGCCACAAAGCACGATCCTGAGCTACCTGCATCCATCGACTTCCCGAGGCTGCCACTGGAGAACCTTTTTTCCCCAACGGTTGTCGATTATTCGAGCTATATAGCCGGCCCATTGTCACTTCAGCTTACTAATCCGTTACTTTTTAAGCTTACTTGTCGTTTATTATTTAAAATTATACAAGTACATAATAAACAAAGAGTTTATTAACTACTCAACATCACTCACGTCTTGTAATTAATATCGGATCGAAGGAAGAGGAAACATTTGATCCGTACAGGATATTAGGTATTTGACAGAGCTAATTCTTGTTGAAGTTGTCGAAAGAGCTTCAATACAAGTAAGAGTCTCAGTTAATTTGCATAATACTCTATTTTCTATTGGTGATATTATGTTTAGTTTTAAGATTTTATTGGCCAAATCAGTACACGTTGAACACATTAATGTTATGTTAGGGTGGTCTCTGTACGTATTTTACGTACGAATTAAAATAACGCTAAGTTATGTGTATATATGTACATATATAAATTAAAGTAAAGTTACAGCCTATATACTTCCCACTGCTGGGCACAGGCCTCCCCTCATTTCTGAGAGGGTTTTAGGGCGAGGAAGTATCCGCCGCGCTGCCCCAATGCGTGTTGGCGAACTCCACATGTCTTCGAAATATTTTTTCTTATTCCTCAGACATGCAGGTTTCCTCACGATGTTTTCCTTCACCGCCGAGCACGTGGTAAATCAGCACTTAAAATTGCAATTAATAATTTTTTTGGTGCCGGCGGGGATCGAACCCGGTTTGCTCGCGTACTGTGAAATTTACAGCGAGCGCTAACCATCTGAGCTACCACGGCTCAAAACAAAGGTTAAACAGGTCACTCCGATGCTTAGAGTTAAATACAAATTTCAATTTTATCTTAAATTACGCTCAAAATTTCAAAAATCTGAAATACTTTTCAGCACATAATATGAGTAACAAGGTTAGATAGCAAAGTAATGTACTCAATCACATATTATGCGTACAAAATTACGGCAACATTATGTTATTATTATATGTTGTTGTATGTATATATTGTATGTTCATTATTTTAACATAATGTTGTACACGTGCAAAATTATGTTAAAATTAACATGGTTGTGACTGTCGAAATAAAAACTGAATTTTTAGTAAATTTTAGTATACCTATATCAGACATTATGAAAGTGATAAAATCTACTTAAACTACAAGGAAACTGCGTGCAGTTTAAAAATTATATGGTCTAAAAAATCTATGCGTCTATTTTTTAGATTGGGACAGTAATGCATGCCAGCACAATTAACTAGACGCAATCTCAGGAACACATCTTTGGGATGAAGCAGCCCAGTAATAGCTGCTTCCGCTTTTGACCACATTCAGCCAAGAGAGGCTCTTATCGTCAAAATCGGAATTCTTACCAATTAGTTTAATTCATTAGACTTGTGGAGAAACGTTACATAACTTTGCATTTTTATCGCATTTACTTTCATACAATTAATTCCGGACACTGAGTTGCGCTAACGTCCGTTGAGAAAAAGTTCTCAATACAATTCACATCATCTGAATGCGGTCTACTAAGGTGTGATTTTCCAGAAATGTTCTGCCTCACATGACTGTATCAGTTTCCACGAAATATGCCTCAATTACATTTTTAAAGCCGATATCATCATCAACATTTAAGTAAAAAGCCCCACTTCGTCCTAAATAGCCAGCAACTATTACGAATTAGTAATTCGGATACAGAAAAAAAATTATGTATTCGAAATGAAATAATATTGAAATAAATTATTAATTAGTGTACAAAATGATAGAGACTATCATATTAATAATTATAATTATATTCGATTTTGACTTTCAAACGGTAAACTGAATCTAGACGATGGACTAATACATTATGTATTAATATTTGGTCATGAATAAATTAATTTAATATGTATTAATATTTGGTCATGAATAAATTAATTTAATATGTATTTATTTGTTCTTTTTTGGCAATTGAAATGTATACTAATTAAATTAAATTTGTACATGCGCTTTGAAACAACTTTTTTATTGAAATTACCATTTGGAAAATTTTGTTACATAAACATTATTTTAAATTAAAATGTACAGCCGCAAGAAAAAGCTTTGATCGCACTTTTGATGTTAAAATTAATATCAAAGTCTTATTAAAATAACACAATATTACTCGTTAACAAACTTTCTTTACTATAAGAAGTTATTCTGTAGTAATTTTTTTAAAAATAATAAATGTGTGGGAGCGAGTGTTCAACTTGCTCTCTTACTTACGCAATTAATCATTTTCTTTAATAAGACAGCATACTGCACTACACATTCAGTATAAAGCAAATACAGCGTCCTGGCCACAATCACGCACTGGTGTAACGTGAAGGACATAATTAAATGATTACACCAAAGTACGCAAACAAACAGCAACACTGTTAATGTAATACAGGGCAGCTCTCTCAGCAAAACACTGCAACAGCTCACTGTCTCGCCGCAATGCATCAACGAGCTGTCTCGCTGCACTGCATCAGTAAGCCGTCGCACTCCTCTCGCACAGGCGAGTCATCACGCTCCACTCGTTGCATATTACAACATTTCGAAAACACTAGGCAGAGCCCCCAAGTTTGTATACCTGCAAGTGGCTGTTGACATAGGCACAAAGTTAGCATATCACCCATGCTTCAACGTTGCAGACATCGGTACAAAGTTCGCATACCTCCCAGCGGCTGTTGATATAGGCACAAAATAAGCGTTAATTAATACCTGAAACAATTTTCATATTGGATTCTACTTCAATTAACTTGTGTATAAAAAACTATTGTGTACAAAAAATTTTACATTATAATGTAAAATTTTAATTACACAATAGTCAAAGTAAAAGACATGAAAACAACTAGTTACACGTTAGGTGCACAAGCGTGCACTCAAGTACATCCAACACCGGTTACGCGCAAATAGGTATCCAAAGTAATTTTAGATTGGATTAGATGTAAAGAGCTAGTTGCCTATTGGTTTCAATTGCATGAGTGAATAAGTAATTGGTTTTGCAAAATAAAATAAAAAATTAAATAAATTAATATAAATGTATTGCAAACCATAGAATTTCGAACTTCCATAGTTCACCACACATTGCCACAAAAAAGGACAACTGTGTGACATGGCACTTATAAACCATTGGACACATTGCAAAAAGAAGCTGCGTGCAGAGGCGTAGGCCAGGCTGTGAGTCAGCAGCAGACGGAGATGCGTCCAGTGCGGCCGCTGCGTGGCACTGCCGCGCCCGAACAAGTAGAACGGCAAGCGCCACATGTGACATAGTGCACACGCCATAGGTAGCTATAATATAAGCCATAGGCAAGCCATAAGGCAAGCGCAGGTGGCTATTTAAAACAACACAGCACACACCATAGGAGCTGCCATTAGGCAAGCGCACTTGATTATTAAAACAATACAGCACATGCCATAGGAAGCTGCCATGAGACAGGCGCACGTGGCTAATGAAACACATGCCATAGGTAGCTGCCATGATGCAAGGCGGTGTAGCCACAATCTTATTAGGGCTCGGCCGAACCTGACCATTTCCAATTAGCCGTCACGACATGTTGTAGCGACTTCTACGAACGTCTCGACATCAAACCCCAATTTTGTCGACTACATTGTATATAATTGATCGAAGACTACATTATATTCAGAGTAAACTGTAACACTTATCAACACGCTAGAATACGTAGAGGCTACTTATTTTTTCAATTCATAGTATGGTAACGTTATATATTTATTTTGGTACAACGCTTTTACATTTCGAACATTAAATAGTAGCACATGTAAATCAAATTTTGCAAGATTAATTTAATTATAACTCAACTTGAGCAGTTTAGATTGCGACTGAATGCAAAACCATAACTCATTTATATTATATCAAACATTTATTTACACATTCGTTAACAATGTATTTGGCTACGTTAAGAAATAATTAAAGCACTTGCTGGTACTTTTAATACAAAGCGATTTAATGTTTTGCTTAAAACATATCTCTTTAAATATTTAATACGACAGCAAATTTCATTACCTCATTTAACTTGAAAACAAAGGCGATAATAATATTAAGAGGCGCAAGGCCCATCGTCGTCTCCCTCACACTATACGAAGTGTTTTATGTGGATGATAACAGGGACTTTA